AAAAAAAAAAGACTTCATTAAGATAAGAAAATATATATTACATACATTAAATAGGATTGTTGTTAGTTGCTGTTAAGTTGACTCTGACTCATAGCAACCTTATGTATAACAGAAGGAAATATTGCCTGGTCCTGTACCGTCTTCACCATCAGTGGTTTATTTGAGTCTTTTCTTGTGGCTATTGTTAAATGCTTAACCATTTAACCAAAAAGTCGGCAGTTTGAATCCACCCAGAGGCACTTCAGAAAATAGGCCTGGTGATCTTCCAAAAAGTCACAGCTTGAAAATGTTACAGAGCAGTTCTGTTCTATACACATGTGGTTGCCATGAGTCAAAATCAACTCAATAGTGACTAACAATAATAACAGTTTTACCAAATCTGATGTCCTTTTTTTGTCTTCCCTGATGATGTGCCCAAAGTAAGTGAGTTGAAGTCTCACCATACTCACTTCTAAGGAACATTCTGGTTGTATTTCTCCTAAGACTGATTTGTTCATTCTTTTGACAGTTGATGGTATGTTCAGTATTCTTTGTTAATGTTGTTGTTATGTGCCATTGCGTTGGACCCGACTCATAGCAACCCCTCCCTGGGTCTCCGAGGCGGTATCACTATGGAAGTAGATTACCCAACCTTCTTTCCAAGGAGTCGCTGGTGGGTTTGAACCTCTAGCCTTCTGGTTAGCAGTCAAATGCCTTAGGCACTATGCTATCAGAGCTCCATAGTTCAAATGCATCAATCCTGTCTTCCTTTTTCATAAGCTGATTTTCACATGTATGTGAGATGATTGAAGAGACTATGGCTTAGGTCAGGAGCTTTGGTCGGGTCCAACTCGACGGCACATAACAGCAACAACAACATGGCTGAGGTCAGATGCACCTTAGTCACCAAAGTGACCTTTGCCTTTTAAAACTTTGAAGAGGTTGTTTGCAGCAGATTCGCCCAGTGGAATGCATCGCTGGATTTCTTGACTTCTTCTTCCATGGATGTTGATTGTTGATCCAAGTAGTATGAGATTATTGACAATTTCAATTTCTTCTTCATTAAATAGGAGTTGGATGCTATGAAAAAGGAACATTCAGTGCATAATTAAATGCAACCTTCTGTTATATAAGGTATTTTCGAGTTGGTTTCAACTTAAAGCGACACTGTGAACAATTGAATGAAACACTGCCTGGTCCTGTGCCATCCTCACAATTGTTGCCATGGTTGAACCCATGGTCACAGCCACTGTTTTGATCTATATCGCAGAGGGTCTTCTCCTTCCTCTTACCCTTGTAGCAAGCATGATGCCCTTCTCCAGGGACTGGTCACTTCTGACAGTATGACCAAAGTATGAGTGGCAAAGTTGGCCAGTCTCATTTCTAAGGAGCATTCTAGCTGTACTTCTTCCAAGACAGTTTTGTTTGTCCTTCTGACATTCACCATTCTTCACTAATACCAAAATTCAAATCCATCAATTCTCCTGTAGTCTTCTTTATTCACTGTCCAGTTCTCACATGCATATGAGGCTCTTGAAAACACCATGGCTTAGGTCAGGTGCACCTTAGTCTTCAAAGTGACATCTTTTTTCTTAAGTACTTTAAAGAGATCTTTTGCAGCATATTTGCCCAATGTAATACATCATTTGATTTCATGACTGCTACTTCCATGGGTGTAGATTATGGATCCAAACAAAATTAAATACTTTAATCTTCTCTGTTTTCATGATGTTGCTTATTGATCCAGTTGTGAAGATTTTTGTTTTCTTTATGTTGATGTGTAATCCATTTTGAAGGCTGTCCAGATGAGTTGTATAATGACATCAAGGACATCATACATGAAGAAAGCAAATGTTATTAAAAAGGCAGGAAAGGAAGAGAAGACCAAGATGGATATCAGAAGAGACTGTGAAACGTGTACTTGAATGGAGAGTAGCTAAAGTGAGTGGAAGAAATGATGAAGTAAAAGAGCTGAACACAGTATTTCAAAGGGAGCTTGAGAGGACAAAGTAAAGTAATACAATGAAATGTGCAAAAACCTGGAGTTGGAAAATCAAAGGGGAAGAACATGCTCAGCATTTCTCAAGCTGAAATAACTGAAGAAAAAAATTAAGCCTTGAGTTGCACTATTGAAGGATTCTGTGGGCAAAATATTGAACAACACAGGAAACAGCAAAAGAAGATGGAAGGAATACACAGTCACTGTACCAAAATTGGTCAACATTCAACCATTTCAGGAGGAAGCATATGATCAAGAACCAATATTAAATGCAATATCAGAATTGAAGACTTAGTAGAAGGATTAGAAGATAATGTTGAAGCATTCCCCAGGAAAAGAATCAAAAGGAAAAAAAGTTAAAAAAAAAAAAAAAAATGTAGAGGGCAAAAAAAGATAAATTAGAGAAGCAGTATAGGAAACCCAGCTTCAAACAGAATGAGTTCCAGAAAGAGATGATTTGAAAAAAAAAAAAAAAAATCCACAGGAGGGAGAAAAATCATTAAAGAAATAATTTAAGAACATTTTCTAGATTTAGAGAATATGAGTTTCTAGATTTAAAGGTCATGGTGTATTCAGCACAATAAACCAAAAAAAACAAAGTACAATGTTATGAAACTTTAGAACACTGAAATAGAATAAACAAAATGTATTTATATAATGCAGCATAATTTGGCAATAAAGGGTAAAAAATGCATAGAAATCTAAACAAACAAAAGGACATTGACTTCAGGAAAAATAAGAGGTGATTGTGTTATACTACAAGAGTGAATAGCATTTTTATAGCACTTTATAATATCTACACTGGGTGTTGATCTAACTAAATAAATGGTATATCAGTATAGGACCATAGGAGAAATGGGAAAGGTGCGGACAGGGAGATGTAAGAGAGAACAATTTCATTTTTCCATAGTATGAAGTCAGTAAAAGCTTAAGACTGATGTTAGTTGGGTGAAGAAAAAGGCAGTGTACCAAATGTGAGTGATCAATATAGTGGCATTGAGGAAGAGAAAGCCATAGAGAGGTATGTGGGAAGTACAGACAACAAAGATGAACCCTTTTGCACTTATAGTATGGCGTGATCAGTGAAGGCAAACACGGGTATATGGGTGGATAGATGGGTGGACAGGCTGAAATATTAGGTATCTATATGAAGTGGAGAGTG